TAATTTTATATTATTTGAAATAGAATTAAGAGTGATTTTATTTGAGTAACTATTTATTTGTTTGTTATGGACTGATTTGGTGCTTTTGGATTTTGATTTCTGCAATAGAGACTTCTTATCAGAGTGTTGCATCCTTAGACCGTTTTCAAGTGATTGTCCATAGCCTGATTGGATTGAGGCGGTGTTCTCTCCTGGACATCATAAGACTGTATGCCGCCCCCTTGCTACCATGCTGCTGTCCAGTCGATGTCCAGCTGCCATTTGCGCTAGATTTTCAGTCGCTATAACCCTATTTTTTCTCTCTTATCTATAGTACTAATATCCTAACCATCCCTTGGGGGGTAGGTGATTCTGGGAAGTGGAGGGTGACAATGACAAGCAACAACAATTGCAAGAGGACGGTGATTGAAGATTGTGGCGGTATTTTGTGATGACAATTGACAATAATGGTAGTAGGAGGTAGCAATGACTGATGGCGGTTGTAAGCAGGGAATGCAAGTTTGTGAGCTGTGTTTTTCATGCATTTAAAATTTGCTCAATTTGTGTATAAGACCAATTGTTGTTCAAATCAAATAATGTAGCTCTATTAATGCAAGGGATTATTTTAACTAGGTCATGACTTTACTAAAAGAAAGACGTCATTCATGCATTTTCATTTGTAAACACTACAAAAAGAGCGCTGTTAGTGAGAGAACAAAGTGGTATTCTCTTCGATACAACTTGAGCATTTTGGTTTCAAAATAATCTGCTTTAATGTTATTGGGAGAAGCAGTTCTGACAACTACATACTTTATATGTAAGTTACCTTCTAAAGTCCTAAATTGAAACAGTTCTATGGAAATGATGTCTAAATTTTATCTTAACCAGAGAACTTCAAATCATCTGACCCCTATGATTTTTGCTGTATCTTTTGTTCACATTCATGATCCAAAAAAGGGGGATATTGTTCCATTGGCTATCAGTTGTGTTTTTGTTTATATAAGTACTACCATCTACCTTCCAAGAGATTTTATATCAAAGTTAACGTCACCTTTCATGAAACAATCCAGTTTTTCTACTTTTTTATCTTCAATTAGAGAATCCAATCATGGTAAAAAAATTAAGGGTCTCTCTCATTGATCTTTCCTCATCTTCAAAATCCATGTCTCTTAGGTTTGAGTGTCATGCTTTTGTGTCTCATCCTCTACTTTTACCTCTTATAGAACATCATGAACATATCTCAATGGCTTCTTCTACGAACATCATGTGCATGTCTGCACATCTTATGTCTCTTGTTGGAAGCTTTATTTGGTTCTTCATTGTACAAAAAAGCTTATATTCCTAGACTTGCATCAATTTGAAGATCAGATCAAAGTCTTGAAATGAGGTAATAGTTTCTAATTCTACTTTGCAAACAAAATCACGTAGTAATTTGGGTTGCAATTTTAATCATAATATCCCAACTGTCATCAGGGATGGACCAAAGGATGTATCGGGCAACCTTGAATTCATTTTCTAATCATGTGTCATTTAAAAGTTTTTCCATATCTTATTGGAGTTTTTTTGTAATCCTAAGCAACGTTATCTTTCCTGTCAGGTTTTTCGAGATTTTATCTGATGAAAATTGGAAATAAGCTATGAATGCAGAGGTGGAAGTCTTAGAAAAGAACAAAACATGGGAGCTGTTGAGTTTGTCTATAGGAAAAGAATTACTGGGATGTAAATGGCTTTACACTTTGAAGTATTGACAAGATGAGTCACTAGAGAGGTGCAAGACGAATTGGTAGCTAAAGGATGTACTCAAACTTTAGACATAGATTATCAATAGATATTTGCTTCAACTGCCAAGATGAATACTGTGAGAGTTCTTATATCTTTTACAGGTAATTATGGCAAGGAATGACAACAATCTCATGACAAAAATGCATGTCTACATGGAGAGAACTTAAAGAAGCGATTTATATGAATGTTTAAGTAGATTTAGAAGAAATCTGGTTGCATGTTGGATAAGATCTTGTATAGTTTAAAGCAATCTCCAAAGGTATATTTTTAGAAGGTTTGCAAATTTTATGCTAGTCATGGCATACACAAAAAGTCAGTGCGGTCATGCATTGCTCATCAAGCACTCAGACTATGATGGTCTCATTTCTTCTGGCATATGTTGATGGTATAATTATACTCGTGCATGATTGAGAGAAAAAAAGGTTTTTAGCATGTTTGGGTAAGTAATTCAAGATTGTATGGGAAGGTTGAAAAACTTCGCTCACTCTAGTAAAGGAATCTCTCTCATAGAAAGATGCGCACACAAGACTGAATATAACTTATGACGCCAGTATTATTAGCTAGTTTATGCTTAATTCAATAGAAATAAGCATGTAGGCTCTAAATCAAGTATTGTAGTACCTGAAAGGAACCCCAGGGAAGAGAATTTTGATCAAACCAAGTACAATTTTAGTGCTTGAGGCCCATAGAGATGTTGATTATGTTGAGTCTATAATGAATAGAAGATCGATTTTCAATTATTGCATATTTCTTGTTGGGAATCTCATAAAATTGACAAGCCAAATGTGTTAACAATATCGAGTGATGAAGCAAATTTTGAGCAACGGTTGAGAGTATTTGTGAATTGTGATTGAATTTTTTGGATTTTGAGTATCAATAGGATGGCTTGATTCCTCTTTGTTGCTATTATAAACCTTCAGTTATGACGTCCCGTTCAGTTTGAGGGAGACGAAACGAAGAACTGAAGAAGAGGAGGCGAACTGAGGAGTGGAAATGAACAAAAGTAGCAGTGAGGAGTTGGGCAGTTAAAGGAGGGAGAGGAATCGAACAGTCGGAAACTCAAAGGTCCTTTGCGTTCTATAAATCGATATGTAGGAAGAAGACAAGGCAAGTCCAAAAGAGAAAAAGGGAGGAGAATAGAAGAGAAAGGAGGAGAAGGGGAGAGGAAGGGTGCGACTCACCTGCATGGAGGCTAGAACGTAGCAGAGGAGACGATATCGGTGATGAGCAGAGGCGATGTCGGTAACGAGCCGCAATTGAAGGAGTTCTCATGCGAGGAGGTGACATCAAGCTTCGAGCAGTCCAGTGCGAAGGAGAAGCATGAGGAAGGAGGGAGTGGAATCTGAAGGAGGCGCCGAGCGGCTAGCGTGCGAAGCTTGTGCGAAGGAGGAAGCCGAGCATCACACACACGCAGAGGAGAAGCTCGCCCGTGCAATCTTCAGTAAGAAAAATTAATAATATATATTAGGGTTTATGGAAATTATATTCACACACACATTGTAATAGAAGATTTATTAAAGTAGGACTCCAAGTTTGGAATTTCAGATTTGAGAGGAAAGAGAGGTAAATAAAGAGCGCGATCTTCAGGAGGAAGATTGACCCGTGCAATCTTCAGTAAGAAAATTTTGCTTTATGTTATAAATTTAATTAATGAATGTAATTAGGATTACATAAAAATAAAATGATGAAATTTAATACTTAAATGATGAAAAGTTAATAGTTTATTAAAATATTAAATTTTATATCATGTTCTAATTTTAGAAAAGTCGACGTCAAGACAAATTAATCGACATCAAAGTGGGTACTCATATTATTTTGCTATAGTAATATTTTTTTTTTCTCGACCAAATGCATTTACTGTTATTATTATAGTGTCACATATACATAATTTATAGTTTTATTGAATTTTGTTCATATTATAAGAATGACTTTTGTGCTCAGCTTTGTTTAAATTATCATTGAATCTTATATGAAAATATTGATTGTTATGCAAATGAGAATGAAATATTTATTATTAAAAAATTAATATTTTTATAGTATGCTTATTTATTAAAAAAAAAATATTATTTTTATAGTATATTTGTATCTGCATTCTCGTCTATGATGAAGCCACCATTTTATAGTACTAGTGGGGGAACGTTAAGGTACTCGTGCACGTATATGAAAAAGAATATTGATATTAAAGTAAGTTCAGTGGTACAATTTTTAGACGGTGCTCCTATGGCCGTTGTACTGATATAAAATAATATTAGTATGCTATTGATATAAGATTCATTGAATAGCATTTCAAATTTTAATATTGATTTATTAAAAGTTTAATTGGCATGTACTTTTTTTTTTCTTATATTATTGAATTTTAAGAATATAAGTATTCACTTTCTTTGATTTGCTCACCGTTCTTTTAAACTAATTTTTCAGGTATAATTTATGATTTAAAAGATGAGCGAAGAAATGAAAAATGTTTATAGAAGACACGGACAACCTAACAAAGTAAATTTAAAAATACAGTTTTAATTTAATTTAAATTAGTGACTTTCATTTGTTAAATGGTAAATGAATATAGAAAGTTCAATCCCACCGTCCGACCGTCTGTTTTCCTCTTTGGTTAATTCTAAATCTGGGGCCGAGTCGTGACATTAGTAAACATAACTTATATTCAATGCAATATGATTGAACAAATCATATAGAAGTTGGTTGACATTTCATTAAAGAAAAGCGAGATAGTAGCTTGATTTGTACACAATTTTTTTCTATTGATCGACAACTTGTAGGCGCACTTACAAAAGAATGAAACAGTGGAGTGTTTCAAAGAATCGTGTCCAAGTTGGGAATAAAAACTATTTACTCAATAGCATGCTTTAAAGGGCTCAGCAACCTTATTAGGATTGTCCATGATTCCGTTGTGGGTGCTTACAGTACATTAGGATTGTTTTTTGTTTTTGAATGTACTCATTAGGTCTGTAATATTATATATATTCTTCTTGTTTGGTTGTAGACTAGTTTTCTTTTATTTTCTTATGAGAATCAATATATATATATTGAGTCAATAAGCAACAAATATTTTTTTTTTCCCTCAATTCTTTTGGGTCATCAACGTGACTTTAACTTGCTGTTACATTCCTGTGCTTTGATTTGAATATTATGATACTTACAATGCTCTGTCATTTTCTTTGTTGTAAGTTATTTTCTTTCTATTTATTCTCTTAAGTATTCCTCATTATATTTGGTTTTTTGTGCAGAGAAACTATCGCTACTTTTTCTTTTTCATATCATCGTCGGCTTTTCTTTGTATCTATGTGTTTGCAATGTGTGCATTGTACATTAAGTTTCTTATGGATGAGGATTGCCCCACGGTATGGATGGCAATTAAAGAATCCCCCGCGTCTGTGATTCTCATGATATACTGCTTTATCTCTTTGTGGTTTGTTGGTGGACTTACTGGATTTCATTCTTATCTCATCAGCACTAACCAGGTCAGTTTTTTTTGTCTTCTGATCCAGATGTCTCATTGATTTTCATTTCATATTTGCTTCTGTTTCTGACTGATCTTAAAATATATGTTTTTTTTCCCTTAAATTAAACTGAAATTGCATTGATAATTTGGTCTGGTTCATTGTAAGCTTATATCTGTTTTAGAACCGATTAAGACAATTATTGACGCGGGACGCTTAATTCCATGGAATTGCGGCTCCTAGATTGCAGAAACCGCAGATATGGGACTAGTGTCCTGGGTCTGACTGTGCTGAACAGGAACTTCCATTTTTTTTTCGGCTGCTTTCATTTTTTTTTTCTTTATTGTTTTCTTTCATTTTTATTTATTTTCTGATTTAGGATATTCCTTATTAGGGAGTTTTATATATTTGCTGTTTTGGTTGTCTGGGACACTGTTTTCTGATTTTTATGAATTGAGAAAAGTTTTCTTTGACTTTTACTCTTTAGAGCGCTGTAGCCTATTCCTTTAGAAAGTTGATTCTGTAGCTTGCCCAGGAACAGGCGGTGGATCTCTATCGACGTTCTTAACCCGCCGATCCGCCGTTTGCTTGCTGTTCTCTTAGGCTGGACAGCTGTTGAATGCGCTCTAACTGCTGCTTCCAGCATAAATTCGCAACTTCACTGCTCCGGTTTGCTGTTCAGCGGCCTGGGTTCGCTGTCCAACCGTCCGAACCTCGCCGAACTATTGTTGGGTTGCTGTTTTCAGCTGGGACAGCTGCTGGCAACTTCGAACCTGCTGTCCCTCAGGAGATTTCAGCCACCGACAACACCTACTGTCACTTCCTAGCTATTCCGCAACCAACTCTCAGCGAACCTAGCTTTCTGAACACCTTCTAGGAGCCCTATACCAGTATCATTTAGTATCAGAGCTTGGCAAGTCCTAGATCTTTAGAGCTTCATCTTTCTTTCCTCAAATCACAATTCCAAATTACCTAACCTAACACCCACACCAAAAAATATTTTCCCCAAATCATTCCTACAACAATTCCTAGCCCTAACCTTAAATTTTCAAAGTCTATTTTTCTTACCTCCACACACAAAATTTCACCGACACTTATCCAAAAAAACCTAAACACCCAACCAACTTTGAATTGCAATCTTTGATCCGCTAGAAATCTGATCGAGAGAAAAGAACACAATGATGCATAGGAGAAATCCACAAAGATTTGTCCAAGAACTTATTATGCAAGATATGCAGCGTAAAATCTTTCAAATGCAACAGAGATTTGCCATCTTTGAGAGGAAACAATCTAGTGAGGTCACTCGCAGCTACAACCTTGACTCATTGGATCAAGAAAAGGAAGTGAATCCATTCCACTAGGCAGTTTCTAGTGACAAAGATCCAATATCCCAAAGTTTTGGCAATAAATATCAGAAGAGAAGCCATGAATATTAGAGTTAAGGTGGATTTACTGGGCTTTGATGATCGCATTGATCCAAATGAGTTTATCAAATTGCTTTAGATAGTGGAGTGAATGTTTTAGTATAAGGATATTCCTCTGGACTCCGGAGAGTTAAATTAACAGTCATCAAGCTTAGAAAATATGTTTTATTGTGGCGGGAGAACCTGGAGTATATTCGACAGTGAGAATAAAAGAGTAAGATCAATACATCTTCTAAATTGAAAAGGGAGATAATACCTTTCCTCACATTAATGACAGGACATGTTCATAAAGCATCACAACTTTACAGACAGAGTTTAGCCTCAGGATTAGGCGGCGGAAGTACACCCAATGAAGCACGTAAGCCTACACCACCCAAGGAGAAGTCCATCCATAGTGGAGAAATGATGGAGGCCCCCAACACTCCCAAATTTGTCCCAGCCATATAGTGTTTCAAGTGCCATGGGTTTGGGCGCATTACATTGATTTGCTCAACCAAGAGAATAATATTTTTCACTAAGCAGGGTGCAATAGAGGAAGCAAAGGATGAAGACCCAGAGGAGGAGATTATGAGGAGCATCAACTTGTAACCAACAAGGGAGAGATGCTGGTGATTCAAGCTAAAGCCCATGAGAGACTCCCACTGGAAAGTCGTGAGTCTAAGATAATTGAATTTCATGTTTAGTTTTAAAGATGTGGTTCCACGAACTACTTTTTTGCAGGTGATAAATGGAGCATCAATAGGATTGACCTTGGGTGTCCAATTGGTTCATAATTTTGAGGGGCCAACACCAAACATATGGCAAGTCTAGATGAGAGAATTTCAAGATTTTCAAATATACGGTCTTTCCCCTAAGTTGTCATAGTTGAGAGAGGTCCAATACGTCAAAAATGTGAAGGCCTTGAGTTATTCCTGGAAGGCTAAGCTTGGTGATAAGTTTTAAGTCAGTTCAACAGTTCACCAATGGACAAATGATCAAACAAAAGTGGCGGACCGTCATTTAAAGTGATTTTTTGTATAGAAGCCTCCATTCCCTTTTGGAAAGATACATCCCATTATCAGTATGGTTTGGAACCAAAACTTGTCTGCACAATGTTTTTGTTGGAAAGGTGGGTAAGGTACTATTAGGTTTGAACTTAAGACAAAAACTTATAGTGAATAAAAATATTTGCATCCAAAGTAATTCTTATGCATTGAAGTAGATAAAGTAATTTTCTTCATCTTTCATTTCCTTTGTAAATCTGATGCTAGAAGCCCTTCATACTACCTGAGGCCAAATTTTCTAAAAAATTATTATAACATTAAAGAGATACACCCAATGTGGTATTCTTTCTCTTATTTGCTTAAGCATCCTGAGATGTGGATCCTCATTTTTAAGAAGTTACATGTCATTCAGTAGAAGATTATCAAGGCTTATGCTACTCGACCAGCCCATTAATAAGAGATTTATGTTTGTAAGTATCCTAGTATTTGAAAATGTGTAAGGTAATTTGTTGAGTTCGTTTTGTGTGACAGGGCGGAACCAACCTCTCTTTTTATGTTGGGCAAACTAATTGCATATATAACGTAATATTAAAAAAAATAAAATAAACCCCTAAGTAGGAATCAAGTCATAACACTTGATTAATATTAGATTTTGGTTCGTATAATTAAAAAAAGAGGTGTTTGTTTGTTTCTGAAGTCTAGAATAAGTCCAGTTTTAATGTTGATTATAAATGGAAAATATGACACTAAATAGGACGCAATGGAGAAGCAATGAATGGAGAAAAAGGATCCATGTAGCCGACCCCATGTAGTGGGATTAAGGCTTTGTTGTTGTTGTTGTTGTATAAATGGAAAAAAGCTAAGTAAATTATTTTTAATATTAGATTTTGGAATGATGTGTCTTACACTTTAAATGTTACAGACCCAATTGTGAAAATGTTAAAATTAGTAGACAGTGATAAACGGCCTGTAGTGGGTTATATTTATGATGTAATTGACAAAATTAAAAATGCAATCAGTCAATTTGGAGGAGATGAAAAGTACAAGCAAATCTTTTGTATCATTGATGATGGATTGAGGTGTCAACTTTGACAACCATTGCGTTAAGCTATATATTATTTTAAAATAACTTTTTATAAGAATAACTCTCAGATTCAATCAGATGTGCAATTGATGGAAGTTATATATATAGCTATCAGTAGGTTAGTGAAAAATTTTAAAAGAAAGAATGATTATAGATCAATTTTTTTTTATTTATAATCATATTAGTGGTATTTTTGCAATTGAGTACGTCATATGCAATAGAGATAATAAAGCTTGAGGAATGGTTAATTAAAGTTTCGACTTAAATTTTGAGCCTTCAATTGATTAAACTTTTTCTTTGGCATGACATTATAATTATAATATAACAGCATGGTGGGAGATGTATCAGTTCGAACTTTGCAAACTTAAGATTTTAGGATTGATTTGTATTACTGCTGGTTGTGAGAGAAAATAGTGTGTCTTCGAGCAGGGTAATAATTTATAAATTTAAAGCATGCTAAATAATATAATTTTGCCTTTATTTTGATTTTTCTTTTTTTGCATATTCATATATAAAAAAATTGGCTAGATCAAAAGCACTCAAATGATTTAGTTTCATCAATTAAAATTAAAGTTTAAATAGATGATTAAATTTGAGAAATATTATTATCCGATAAGTTTAGATTTAATTGATGAAAGTTGTGAATGGTTTAATGTAGAGATGGTTGATGCTAGTGAACAATGATTTGGTGATGGAATCTTACTTGGAGACAAATTCAAGAGATTTTAGAAGAAGTAGATCAAACCTGGTATGTAAGATTTAGTAGGGTAAAAAAAAAAGATCTATCGACCATGATGATGTGTTCATCTCGATCAGTTTGCTTTTGTTATGCCAGAAAAAGAAAATAAAATTTATTCATAAGAAATGAAGAAGAAGACAAAAAACAATTTAAAGATGAAGAAAATTACCAGAATGAGAAAATGATTATGTGAATGAGAGAGATGATGATGAATACTTAATTATTGTAGCTTGTTCTATAAATTTTGAGACTTGATTACTTTATTTATGTTTTGGATTATATGACTTTTTTTTTTTTTTTGGCAATTTTTAAGTTTTATTTTTTACAACAAACTTTTAGGAAATTATTTGAAATTTTAATTTTACTTACAATATTTGCCTTTAAATTAGATATGTGCACTTCATTTTTTTCTATTTTATATCAACTTTTAAGCCGCATAATAAATACTCTGTTTTATATTGTTCATGAACTTATTTTTACATTAATAATTTTATATAATCTATTAGTGCTTTTGTTAATAAAAAAATATCAGTGCGCTCTGTGCTTTGCACTTTGAAGCAAAAATAAAAGTTTGTGCTTTATATTACGCTTTGCATTTTGATAACACTGTACTGGCTTTAAAATAACACATAAACTGCTAAGGGAAAACTACATAAATGCCCTTTGCAAGAGCTCAAGCAAAATAAAGCATAACACAACCAATATGAGAAAATCGGGGAAATGAAATGAAATTAAATTATAAGCTTAAAACCACTAGCTGAATAGATGTGTATAGCAGAATTGTCAAAAGTGCTAGTTTCTAATTAGGCCATAATTGTTTTCCATCATCTAAAGCAATAAACGTGCACCTAGGTGATTGCTTGAGCAATGCGAGGTGGTTAAAATATGTCAAATTATTTGTAAACTAATTTTATATTGAGGCTTTTCTCGTAAGTGTATAAACTAATAATTGTCACTTTAAACCAAGCATGAAATAAATTCTTTGTATCCCACATTCAAATTTTTTTATGAGTAGCTCATTTTAAGCCGGGCTAGTAATCACCTTAAAGTTTGTATTATTTATTAGCTTTTGGTAATCTAATCTTCGTTGTCATCTCTTTTTCATCTTCGTCAACATTTATGCTCTCTTTTTAAAGCTTTATAACCCTCCATTCCTCCCTCTACCGCCTCTCCCTTAGTGCTCTAGAACCTAAAGCTCTTTTATATATTTTTAGCCTATTATTTCCTAAACTCATCACTATTTTTCTTAATTTTATACTCTTTTCACATCACGTCATGCCAAATTATCATGATAAAAAACTTAGTCCAACTTTGTTATATAGTTTTTGAATGAAGTGAAAAATGTAAAGTTCCAGGAAGAGTTTTGCATAGTGATGCGGCTAGTTCGTTCTTAAAGGCTTCCAACCATAACGAGTTTCCCTGATATGGGCAAAACAGTTAACAAGTGGCACTGTACTTGTGCTGCAATTTCAGGTCAACAAGATCTATAAATAATTCATTCCTTTAATTTTTATAGAAGTATTTTTTTTTATGACTGAGTTTTTGAAATGTTTAGAGGCAAGCAAGTTTATACATTTAAGGAGTACCAACTTTTTGAAGTCGAGAAATTACTAAAATGTGATGTGCTTAATACCTTGTAAAATAACTATTTCCATATTCTAATCATATTTCTCATACTTTTATTTGAAAACTCTGGCTGAGCTAAAAAAGAATAGATTTGATAAAAATATTGAAGCAATTCATTCAAATATAATTCAAACAGGACCATATACAAAGCTTCATGTGACATGAGTTTGGGATGTAATGAGGTTAAAAATGACAGGCAGGAGAAATGTCTTCCCAGGTAGTGAAAATACGTCTAAAGAAATGCTCATTTCTAGGAGAACTTTGTATGGCAAAATAACTGTGTTAACTCCACAAAGCATGGCAAACAAAATATCAAGGGAACTTGCAGACTCATGATCTTTCTATTGATTAAGGGGTTGTTTGGTTGAGTGAATTCGTGGTTTACTGAAATTCTTTTGTTTGGATTTGAGAACATTATGTATTTGATATGAAGAATTATAAATACAATATAAAGTGTGAATAAATTTGAAGTTTAGAACAAAGTTTATTTTGGTTGAATTTAGAATTCGGCCGAATTTAAATTACACCATTCATGTAAAATTCTATAGGCAAGCCGCCACGCCTTGCTCGTTGACCCTGCCCGCCACCGCAACCCCCCACCCCCGCAGGTTCTTGTACAAAAAAAAAATCATAATAAATAAATAAATTATTTTCAATCTATTCAAACCAAACAAAAAAAATCATATCTTATGCTTATTTTACAGTGAATCAAACAACTCGAAAGTATTACAAATACATAGTAATTATAGTACTCTGCAAACTTTTTACATTGCATTTCATTTTTAACATACCAAACGACTTTTAAGTAGGATCATATTCTTCCAATGATTTATTTTTTTAGATAAATAATGCTAAAAGTATTTAAAGGGAGCATTTATAAAGATTTTAAAGCACGTGACCGGTGTCAAATCAGGTTTAAAAGGGTAAGATTAGGTTTGACCGGATCATGATAGGTGTGAACTGAACCCAACTCGTTTACTAAACAGGTCAAAAACTTTAATCCGAACCCGATGAGCCTACAACCCGCCTAACTCAAACACAACCCAAGTGACATGTTTGGTTTCAAGCCAAAATTGAGTCAAATTTAGGTCAAGTCAGGTCATTATATAATTTTTGTGTAAAAAATGAGTCAATTTTACATTTGCTATTTGACTCAAACCCAACCCAAAATATTAAATGATTCAAAATTTTAGACTTGAACCTAATCCGAAGATACATTAACTCGTACCCAGATTATTTCAAGTTAATTTCTTGTAGGGTTGTTGTGTCAGGTCAATTATTGTCACCTCTAATGTGGAGTTTGATTTCGTGCTCATACTGAGAAGGAAAGCTTCTGTGAATGAAGTTCCTGTTTAATCTTCATTCATTTTTTATTCCTTGTACTTTAAACCTGTTGATTCGTTGATGTTTCATTTTGTTCTCGAAATTCTTTCGTTATTGATCTTGTTCTGAAGTCCTAATGTTATTCAAATAGAATTCTAATAATGTTTGTAATTTTCTCCCCGTTAACTATGGAGTAAACTATATTTCCTGAAGAATATCTACAAAAAAAAAAGGTAAGTAGTCCTTGAAACTAGAATATTTTGATGGTAAACATCATAAACATATTAATTTTTTGAGACCCTACACGTCAGGATCACACCGGCCAGTAGCTAATGGATTTATATTTGAATGTATAATCCAATAATTTATATTTGTGGGTCTTGTTTGAAATAAGATGAACAAAGAATTAAACTATAGGCAAAACAAAGGGGAAATTTACATACATACCACATGTTTCTTAGGTATTTACATATCTAACGCCTAAAGTTTGTTATTTATGTTTTAAGTATCCATAAGTACTAACGTACCTCCAAGAGTTGGCTTTAATGATGAAAACCAAAGGACATAAAAAGAATGAGATAGGAAATTTCCATTGGGTAATTTTTATAATGGTATAGTTTATGGCTTACTTTGCACTTGTACCCACCTTTTGAATGCTTGATGAATGCTTTATTTTCTGACTTCAGCTCTCCAGAATGAGTTCAGGAAAGTTCCTAGTAACTAAAATAGGGGTATACATACATACCACTGAATTCTGATGTTTTTACATCTAACACCTACATTCTTTTTGCATTTATGCCACCCAAATCTTTCGTTTCACATCCAAGATACCACCATGTTAACTTTTAAAAATACAACTTTTCATGCATACGTAAGGTGGCGTGTATGTAACGGTTGGTGTTAGATATGTGAGTACATAGGAATTGAGTGGTATGTATGCAAATCTTCCAAAAAAATACCAAAATCTCAAACATATTGCTTGGTGCCTCAATTTCTTTTTCTTTCAGCGCCAATTTTTTTTTTTTTTTCATTTCCGGTTTCTTTTTATAGTGAGATTCGAACATATTCTTGTGCCCCAGACTACCTACGAGAATTTCAGATACAGAGCTGACAACAGGCTTAACGTCTATGACCGAGGTTGCCTGAACAACTTCCACGGGGTATTCTGCACCAAAATCAAGCCCTCGAGGAATGATTTCCGTGCCATTGTGCCGAACGAACCTGCACGGCCGCCACCCATGCTTCATCCTCAGGATCTAGAAGACGACTCAGGAAGTTTCCCTCGCTACAAAGTACAAGACGACCTTAGTATCAGTGCAGACCTGTTGATGATCTCCCAGCGGCACAACATTGATGATTTCGATCTGGAGATGGGTGGGAAGAGCCCTTCAAGCATTCCCAATGTCGCCTCCGATTCGAAATTCGCCGCAGTTTTGGATTCACGGCTTCCCGAAGAGAAGCAAGCCAAGAATTTGAATCAGGGTAGGGGAATCGAAAGATTAGGGTTATCACCTGAAAAGAGCTCTTCTCAGTGAGAAAGGAGAGGGTTGTTGATGGAAGAAAGGAGAAAATGGAGAAACGAACAGTATTATAGGTTGTAGAGGAAGGCTGGATTTCAAAGCCATTATTTATCACATATATGTTAGTGATGACTTTATTCTTTCTGTAACTTAATACAAACCAGTGTATCTTCTGAATTTTCTATGTAATATCTTCTCTCTTTTTTTCTTTCAATTATGTAGTTTTAAGCCTTCTTCAGTTTGAAAAAAATTGCTGAACCATTGAAATTAACTTAATTTAATTTAATTTAATTTATAATTCGAGTCCTTTTAAATTATAGGTAACCTGTAGTATTTTTATGGGGATATTATGTGGCAAATGATCTTGGAAATGACTATGAAAGGAGTAACCTCAGTCTAAGGGTGCGTTTATTTCAGTTGTGGTTGTAGAATGGCTGGTTTGAGAAGCTGTTTTTCAAATTTGTTGTGCATAAGCTATTATTTTAGAAGCAGTTAGTCTATTTGAAAAACATAATTCTGGAAGAGTTGTCTGTAGACATAATGACTGCAATGCCTTCAGTTTAGAAACACAGTTTGGTTTAAACTGTTTGGAAATCATATTTTTTGAACGTGTTTCCTGTTCAGTCAATCCAATGATAATTTTAATGTTATTTAGGATACATAATGCCATAAGAGAAGTAAAGATAAACATTAATCCAAATTTTCCCAACAAAATAATCATATAAATATAAGTTCAACATAAACTGTATTTCATCCAGATAAACGAGCTTGTCAACCAAAAACTCCTAAAGTAGCACATTATATCCTTCAAATTACATCATCACCAAAACAAAAACAATGTCAACAACAATAAAATCAAGTGCTACGATTACAAAATCAAATAAGAACAAGTTTATTCATAAGAAATTTTAGCTCTTTAAGATCATTATTAATCGTGGGATCAGATGTCGCTATTTTTTCATCATCTCGCTCTAGCGTTTCATACTTTGAATCATTAACTCATTGAAAAAACTTGCAGTTTCCATTTGTGAGATTTCTATGACATATATGAAATTTACGGCCAATATTGTCGTTTTTTTGTGTTGAACTCAACACATATGAGTTTGCTCACAATAGACTGCTCGGTGTTTGGCTCCCTTTGACATTGATGGGTTTGAGCTAATTTTAATTATATAATCCTATAAAATGTTGATTCAAACATTCATTTTTGTAAGAAAGAACAAGTATGCACTAACAAGTAACAAACTGAACTCGTAAGATGTGATGCCAACGCACTACTGGTTGAGCAAAACATCTACTTTTTGTAAGCCATCCTTGGCTCAACAAGATATCAAATCTAAGGGTTCAGAGTAAACACATGGAGATGAATAATCTTTCATTAGAAGAAAGCAATAAACCCATAATGCAGGGGCTCTTGGTTGCCTGAAGCACTTAAGAAAGGCCATCCAAAAGAACCCCCTTCGAGTCAAATTACTCCTCACAACTCTTTTAAAACCAACCACCTGAATAAAGAGGCAGATGCCAAATCACAAAAGAGGCACAAACATTCAAAGTCATTTCAGTTTTTGACACATAAATGCATAAGAATATCAAAACCCAATCCCTGTACAAAACATGTTATTTTATTTCCACCTGAATAGCAACTATTTCCACCTGAATAGCAACTTTTTTTTTTTTTTAATGCATAACACGTAACAAGATAACATGACAGGTACCAAGAACTTGCTATAACATGTATCAAGAAATTGCTTTGGTGTTAGATATGTAATTACATAATAATTGTGTGCTATGTATGTAAAGTTCCAGAAGGACACACCTGCTCGATAAGTCCACAAGTAAACCATCGAATAACCTTCATAGCACAAAAAAAATGGCAATGTAAAATGATAAAGAAGACATGTCACGGTTTGAAGACCACAAGAGCTTAGCCATGGATGCATTTCATGTATAAATAATGAATAAACCAGCAATATAGTTGTCGCGCAAGAAATGAATCATATAGAGCACAATTCAGGCTCCCATTCAAAAAAATATTCATAAATCTTTCACACATTGTTACAAATTTTCTTGGTAATGGCAGCACTAGTTACCTAAAAAGCTTTAGGTCATCTTAAGATGCCACATCATCACCGCATGAAATAGAAATAAAAGAAAGGTTATATTGACACAGTCACAACATGCCAAACCGGGTTGCCTTGCATGAGGACAAATAAAAGCTGTAGATGATTCCACATTCCCAGTTCAGAAAGCCCACCTAATAAAATCAAAGGCAGGCTAATTTGACTTGACAAACTGATGCTCAAAACAATGCCCCTGTTGAAAATGAGCTATTTCTATGGGTATAATTGGCTAAAAAAGTGACAACCAGCATAACAACAATTACCAGAAAATTATAAAATGGCTAAAGGCTCAAAATATCTGTAAAACTCACCTAACAAATTGGCTACAATTACCAGAAAATCATAAAAGAGTTTTGCAATGAGCCATTTCTTCCACGACAACAAATAAGAACATAGCATAAGGCTTGAAACAACCCTAAAAAAACCACCTTTCAAAGTAATCAGAGAGAATAATATCCATCCAAGTAAGAACCTACTATCTGCAAGAGGAAAAGAACAACCGACATAGCAACAGGAGCACACTCCACAACTTCATTTATCCACTTGTACCCTGTAAATGTTGATGTCATACATGAAGTGCAAGAGATGTATGATTCATAGTACAGTAAGCACACATACAACTGCGGTAATAATTTTTTTGGCAACGAGCTCTACGTGCTCTATTATTGGGATTCACAGCTGTAAAAATTTTGAGCATTGTTACACAAAATATTTATTACAAGAAGTATTTGGGAAAACAAGATCGCAAGTATTAATGAAGCACACAATATGTCAGCATAAAACAACAAATGTTCTGAAACCAGAAATAATAGTTCCATACATCACAAGCAATGACATCACAAGCATATGTTCTCCCATATAATCAACATCAGAAATAGTTGATACACAAATATATCGAGTCCATTCCTCTCAAAAGTTAAAGGATAAAATTACTCAAAAATTACAATTTTCTTAGAAGAATTGCTAGTAATGAACTCTCCTCTCTAGTGTTATGGACGTGAAAACATCCCTCTATTGGAAATTTTTAGTAATATTTTTCAAACATTCTTTGTTGAAGTATGTTGTTGGCATATTTCCTATGTCAATTTTAAACATATATCACAAAAAATCATCGTTGTTTCTTTTTCTTATGTAGCGGACGATACGTCATCTCTTGTATTGCTCATTTGCTAATGTATCTAACAGACATATATATGATTTCAATTGTTATATGAAACTAATCTAGCAATTTAAAGTTCCTTATATCAATCTCGCAATAAAACATGTAAGGAATCACATAAAAAATGAGGGGGCTTTTACATAGAAACCACACATATATATGATTTCAAATTGAGAAGGCATCAAATTTATTTACATATATCTTATATGAAATCATCAGGTTCATCATGATATGAGATGCTATATTTTTTATTTTTTTTTAGAAGGTAAATAGTAACTTCACCACCAGGTATACCTTACATTTCCTATTAATAGTATTGGAGAACAATAATCAAAACCTTCTTTGTTTAATGTAATAAAATATTTCAATTTCAGTGAAGTAAGGACATGATAAGAGATCTTGTAGAAGCAGGAGTCTTCCTCTGCTTTTATATGAACAATATAAGTTTGATATTCCCAAGAAAATCTAACAACCTCATTTATAAGAAGTTTATGCACGATATGAAACTTAACAGAAAAATCTAACACCCCCATTTATGTCAAATTTCGACTATGTACATTAACCCCTTCAAACACCCCCATTTATAAGAAGTTCATGCACACAAATAAGTACTTCATAGAAAAACCTGATATAGAACTTTAGAATTAGAACTTTACAACAAATAAGAAGTTCATATAAAAAATTTACAGAGTTTTCAATTCTTCAAATTTTAGAATGATTCAACACACTCTAGAGCTAAACATGAATGACTAGCTTCTTTCAAATTCTTTGCCCCTCTCAAAAAATCAATATAGAACTTTAGAATAACTAAATAAAATCAAGAAAACGAACTTTTGATGCATTTTTACCCCCTCAACAGAGCAATTTCAATACTTTTAAAAACCAACATCCATGAATCCCCTAGCTTCATCAGGAGGCTAGAGAGGATGAAGAAAACTACCAAAAATATTAGTGGAAACATTAACTAAAATCAAAACCAAAACAAGGAAAAGTAGCACCTAAAGAAATTCCAACCTTAGCAAACTTTCCCTCAAAAAATACTCTTTCGTTCAAAGAAAGGTTGAACAACAATGACTAAACACAATCAAACCATGGGAGCAGATAACATCTCAGCCAAATCATACCTTAAGGAGGTGAAAATGGCAACACCAATGGAAGAGCTGAGCTGGGGATAACGACGAACTTCATGCGAAAAGGCTAGTGCACACGAGGTTAACGAGTGCAACGAAAGAATTTTTTAGCACGGAAACATGGAACGCGGCTACAGAGCCGCGACCCACGATATTATTAGAATCCAATACGCATTATCAAAACACATTAATCAAACAGCTAATTAAGCCAGTTTGTTTCATAATCTGTTTTGGAAAGCTGAAACAAATGTCCTCTATGAAGCATATTTCAACAGTTAGGCCTCACAGTAATACTGCATACTAATGGTTTACATACAGATTTTCTTGGTTTGTTGGCTAAGCAAATATAGGTGTCAACGAATAAAATTGATCTCAAGCCACATTTAGTTTCAGTTTAAGCTTGACTAATTAATCAAATTTAACTATAAGCCCTAAATTAATTCTATGAATTCAAAGTCATAAACCAGCCATTTACTGTAAAACAAAACTTTATTCAATTAGTAAGATTGTTAAATTTATAAGCAGAATGAGATATTTGATGAATATGTTAAGAAATCATTTGAGATAACCAAATAAGAATTTTGTATTTTTTCTTAGTGATTTTACATTTAAAATATGGATTTTTCATTTATTTTTAATATATTTTATCATATTTATAAAAACAAGCCGACTCATGAGCTGATGGGACGGACCTAATTCCTGAAACTATATTTTCTTACATTTATACCACCCAAATCCTTAATATCACATACAAAATGTCACTATTTCAACTCTGAAAATGTGAAGTACACCTCTTCATGAATAGACTGCTGCATATATATAAAAAT